ATATAACCCCCCTTTGTCTGCTATATAATCCCCTATATAACCCCCCCTTTAGGGAGTTTAGACTAGAGCTCAGTGAGGTCAGGGGTCTTATTCTTCGTGCTCTGCGACCACTCGGTGCAAGGCGGAAGCCGCCGAAACTTTGGGGCCCTCCCTTCTATGTGCAAAATGGGTTTAGGGCTTAGGGGTTTAGGGGTTTAGGGTTTAGGGGTTTAGGGTTTCCCAAAATGAAGGGTACCTTTTCGGGGGTCGCTATAATGAGGACTATAGTATATTGGGGTCTATATTAGGGTCCCTTTATTTTGGGAAACTACCATATAGGTCAAAAGAACGATTTAAGGTTTAGGGTTTAGGAATGTAGGGGCCTACATAATGACAGTAGTAGTAGAGAATTAAATGGAGGAAAAGATTGACAATGAAATGGAATCTGGCATTGTAGCGATTGCTGTAGGGATGGTACTTGAGGTGCCTGTTCAATAAGAATAAAAGATTGGGATATTTTCCACTCCGGATATGTAAGGGCTACACAGGAACAGCATTGGTAACTATAGCGTTGACTGCCCCACAAATGCATGGATGTCTGGAGCAGAACAAAAAATTGATGGCTAGGAGCACCACCACCTTCTACCCTTGCATACTTGGGGCGAACTACACTTGACAGTTACCGTATCCTTGAGACGCTCCTTCCCTTTGGTTGTCCAAACAGATTCCTAGATAAGCATGCGTTGTGCCTCATGTGGGGGCCTCGCAAACCTGCATAGAGGACAAGTTAACCTCAACAATCAAAATTGGGACCCTGTGGCTATCACATGGCTCTGATGCTGTCCTAATTTTGGATGTTGGGTTGCAACAGTCCGTTTATCAAGATTTTTGGGGGCCTGAGCCCCTGTTTCCTCGCAATATCTTAGCCCTCGCCCTAATCCCACTGGCTGAGCCCAGAATACAGCGAGAAAAGCGGTTTGGGGGGTTGAGGGGTTTGCTGGCGGGGTGTCTAGCTGAACCTACAGTCCGAAGAAAGCTTACAGTTGTGAAGCTTCAAGCTGGAATGCCCTAAAATGGGTATTTACTAACTAGTAGGGATTCCTGAGTATAGTAACTTACGTTAAGTTCCTTAACAGAAACCCAGATGTACATACAGTCAGGCAGCCGTGCGAGTACAGCCACCTTCTTCGGGAGCTCTTTGTTCGAACGCTTCAATACAAACCAACGCCTCACTTGCCACACCTTCCTGGGTCCAACCCAAATATGACTCCACTCAGCCCTTACGCCTGAACGATCAAAAATCATCCCGCCTACTCCCTACAACCCTACCCTAAACCCAAAAAACCCTCAACATACACAAGCCTTAAGTAGACCCTCTATAACCGTCCTTAACATTCCGAAGAAGGGCCCCGCATTTCTGGCAACCCGGTGGATACTGCGGAGTCATGAGGCTCAGGAACTCCCTCGACCGTGCTTTAGGGACCCATAGACTCTATGGGTTAGGTTTAGGATTTATAGGTTTTCGTTTAGGGCCTTTGGGTTAAGGATTTTGGGGCCAAGGTAGGGTCCAGGGGTTTGGCTTTCCTGCCACTACAGCTTCGGAGTTTGGCATTGTCTTCTGTGTACTTTAGACAGATACAAGTTCACTACCATCTTCCATTTCTTGAATGTAATGTGCCTGCGCTGTGACTAGCATTTTGCGAGATGGATGAACATGCATCAAGACAATACAGGTAATCGCACGCACCTTGTTCCTAAAGCCAAAGGCCCAACTCCTAAACTAGGAAATTTGGCGCTGCCATCATCTCCCGTGAGGCTTTGGGGTTTGAACCCTAAACCCTAAACCCTAAACGGGATTCTTTGGAGAAACTTGCTCAGGCCAACTGGGGTTGACATCACGCTTGCGGTACAATATCAATGGTTCTTCGAGGATGATGAGCGAATGTACCGCGTAAGCACAGTTTATGGCCAACAAGAATCAAGTCAGCATAGAGCTCCGTGTGAGACCTTCAAACATCAAATCTAAAATCCTGTGACATCAAGTGAGCTGAGGGTTTTGAACAAACGGGAGCTTTCCTAAAATGTTCGCCCTTATCAAGGTAAGGAAGCAAGTATAGCTACCAGACAACGTAGTAGGAGCTCAAACATGGAAGCCCTGTATATATGCAACGCTGAGAATCCGTCATCTGACCTTAGGAACTGTATAATCACCCTGGGAAGTAGTGTTGTTCGCAGGATGTTAAGGTCACGCAGGATGTGTGGCATCAAGCGTAGTATGTACGAGGGAACCATAGTTTCAAAGGTATATGGTATCTAGGGTCATGCAGGATTTCAGGAGGATAAAGATACAGCCCATACTAACCCTGATGTCGTGGAGACCTCCGCTGTCCAACTGCAGCCTACATGCAGGTGTTGTCCAAGCAAAGACCCAATTGGCACAAACCACAAGTGGTGCAGCCTTAGTCCGGCTTGTATGGTTTTAGTGTGTAGGGTTTAAGGGCTGGAGGTGTGGGGTTCAGGGTTTCATGGCTTGAGGGTCTAAACACTAAAACCCTAGACCCAGGGTTGTAGGGTTTCGAGTCTAGGGCAGTCCTCCTTCTGATCTTCTATGTCAGACAAGGCCTGTAGATAATGTTGGGGGTTTAGGGTTCACGGAATACTAGCAAACGCAGGCTTGACATATAGACTTGGCCTAAAGTACCGTTTCCAAAATAGGGGGAACATGATATAGCGACCCGCATTGTAATAGGAGCCCCATTGTAGGGACCCGCATTTCAGAAGTTCAGCGAATTCAGGGCAATCCCCATACAAGGAAAACATGGTCGTGCCGCAGTCCAGAAAAAATGAAGAGAGAGCCCCACCTGCAATAGAAGCCTACTGAAATTCAAGCTAGGGGTATCTAGGACAGTCTGAGTGCATGTTTCTGTGTCCTAGCGCTCTTGCGACAAGCTTTTACCAAAGCTAAGTGGGAAATGCGGGCATGTCGAAACTTCATGATGGAGCGCGTGGTTCAAGGAATCTATGGTACAATCTTGCACAGTCAATTGACGGTATGTCAGTTCTTCCTGCGTCCCTTGGGATTTTCCTGGGACCACAGATATTAGCTCAAGTTTGCTAGGTTTGGGGCACGATGTGAAATTGGCATTCGTGTTGTTGCGCTTGGGTGTTGGAAGCTCCGACAAAACAGGGAAAAGGGTGCATATTTCCAACTGCAATACAGATCTAGATTCCACACGCTTGCATGCCCCCTATACATGTGGTAGTTTCCCAAAATAGGGGGACCCCAATGTAGACCCCCAAATACTATATTCCTCATTATTGGGACTCCCAAAACGCTACCCTTAATTTTAGGAAACTACCATGTATCTGTTACCTACCG